CCCAGAAGTCAGAAGGGAGGTCATCTTTAGCCAATAGTGTGCTTATTATGATAATAATGTGTCAATGACATCTTTAGTCAGCTTATGTCAATATAGTGAGTAAAGTCATCATATGAAGAGGTCATCTTTAAAAAAATCAGAAGTCGGGGTCATCTTAAGTTGGTGAGGTCATTATATGCGTAGAGGTCATATTAAGCCAGAAGTGGGTTCATCCTAGTATGGCTATCTTTTTCCAGCAGATGGGTTGTTTTTAAAGTCAATAGTGAGGTAGTTGTAAGACATAGTAATCTGAAGTGAAAAGCGGGGTCATCTTTTGCTTGTGTCAGTGAGATTATGTTAAGTATGTAATAAGGTAATCTTATGTCATTAGGGAGCTCATCCTTAGTGCTAGGTCTGTATAATGGTTGTTTGTGCTTCTCTTGTTGGAGTACAAATAGCATTTTTTTTCTGCAACGGATTAGCTCTTATTCTTTTTTGTCCATCCAGATTGCACTTAACGACCTTCTGATCCTGGCCCAGCGGAACATGCCAGACATTTTTGCACTGGGCCTTGCAGAAATCTTCAACACAATGACTGGAGAACTGAACTTCTTTAACAGAAGGTTTCAGCAATCAGATTTGCAGGAGCATGAATGGATTAAGCCACTTTATGAGTATGCCAAGTACCACTCAACTCTTGTCCAGCCAGGTGGAGTGATCCTTGCTTGTCTCAGTGCTATTCGTTTTCTTAATACAGGTAAGTTGATAAGTGCTGTTCTTCTTTCTCTTGGATGTAATTTTGTCCAAAATTCACGACGCAACTTATCCTCAAATATCTTTTTAACGAGTGAATAAATGCCACCCATACTTTGCACAGCAGTTTGTATCAATTTGCCACAATGTGACCACATTTTTCAACAACAATTGAGGCTAAATTTAAAAAAAATTTTCATCAATAGTCATATAGATATCTATATTAAATACTACAAGTCTCGGTCACTTGGAAAATGGGGGTGTTCTCACCATTCCTGCTTCACGAACACATTTTGCATACCCATATGGCCTATGTTACAGCTCAACAGTGACTCTTTTTAGTGGCAAAAAATGAGCCTATGCATAATCGCAATCTCCTAAATGCCAACTGAAATTGGAAAGAATTCCTGTTTCTACTCTATAACTAGTTTGATGAGAAGCAGCATGATTGTAGGGGGGAATCATAATCGAATATTGCGACTGGCAAGTGCTTTGGTTTGATGCCGGCGTTGTTGACTTTATTATATTAGATACCGGTAAGAATGTGGGATTTTTCAATCTTCACAGGTTATCACAAGCAACTATATATATAAAAATTAGTATATAACTTACGAGTAAAAGAAGTGAAGAACTGTGAAACCCATTCCTATTCGGTAGCAATGCGCTTGTGCCAGTGTGTTTTGGTTTAAAGAATGCTAAACAAATAATCCAAGATTGCGAAAGCAAAGTAAAAAAAAAAATGTTGGTCTTACTAGTAAAAACGTTTAGTTGAGCACCATTATCTCACACAAAAATTATTTTTATAGCGAACACTTTTTACACTAAAGGTTCTCGAAGCATGTGTTCAATGAGCATAGTGTTACGATTAAAAGAAGTATGACAGACTTGCTTTAAATTAAAAATGCTATTGTCCCGGCTTATAGCATGTAAACCTTTTAAAATTTGTAGGAACCACCGACCGGGATTTTTTAATGAGTATTTATTAACACATTTGCGGTAACTTGGCGCAATAATGCGACTCTGAATATAATCCGTTCCGGTCACTGCGCCTGGCCCGAAAAGTCCGTTGCAGCCACTCTCCTGACTGGGTGACCAGATGGGGTATTTTGTACTGCTGGTGTTAAAGAATTTTTCTAGAATGTCACATAGATGTTTTAAAAAATATTTATCGGATGAGACAAATTGATTAAGGTCATTGTGTAAAAGTTGGAGTCAGTGTTTAATAGTTGAGATATTTGACAATAAGTTGCACCATGAATTTTTTTTACTGCACTATAGTGATTACTTGTCGGGCTCATAACGGAAGGGTCATTGGTTTAAACTCTGTCAGGGGGCCCCGGTAAAGGCACTTTACACTCATTTTTTTTTTCTCTTCACTTGAGCAGGAATGGATACCTGGCTATATACAGTGAAAGGTCTTGTCAATTTGGTAGTGTTTGAGTTCTTAACTGGCTGCTTTCGCTGTATGATTGTATGCTTCCCTGGAAGCCGAGAAGATTTCTGAATGTCTAGGGTCTGCTTGGGTTAAGCACTGTAGAGTGTGGATATGCACTGAATAAATGCAATTATTATTATTATTTTTGTTGTTATTGTTATTATTACTGAATTCACCAAAATTTTACATCCTGGATGCTCGTTGTTAATTTTTCGGCATGATCTTGTTAGTTAATATAAAATTGTCAAGTTGGTTTGGGCTTTGCGTTTGAGTGGCCAATGAGAGCTAGTCTGTGGTGTAACGATATGGCTCTACACCCTTCAGAAGACGTGAGTTTCAATCCTTAGTGGCGAAGTGTTGTTTTTTTTAGTATGGCCCTGACCGGCAGGGTCGAAGCAGTCCGCCCCAAAATGATATAGATCGTGTGGATGGAGTGTGAAACATAACTTTAAAAAAAATAACCTGTTTTTGTTTATGTGGTCAGTGAGAGATAGTCTCTGTTTCGTGACCTATGAGAGCTAGTCTGTGTTTTGTGTGACCCATGAGTGAGGTTTTTTTTGTGTGCCCACAGATGACTTGGAGGTTGAGAATGAGGAGAGCGTGCTCCTGGCGCAAGAGAATCTCATCAAGCTCCTAATTAAGTACTTAGAGCAGAAACCATCCATTAAGTTGCACCAGGTTTTCAAGGGATTACCAAACTTTGAAAACATTCGAGAGCATCTGATGGACGAGTTCTCTGTCATGTGCATGCTCAATGTAGGGCCTGCAATCTGCGCCTTGGACCTGGTGCCTGATTCGGCTACTTCTTCCAATAGTTGCCGCAACGATGCTGGCCCTTCCACGGCAGAGGTGTTGAAAAAAGAGCAAACAGGAGTCCAGGATGGAGACCTCAAAGTCTCCAGCCCTCTACCCCCTCAGCACCAAGTTAATGGCTGGTCTCCAGAAATTGGCGACCTCAAGCCACTACCAAACTTGGTCACTAACACACAGGATGCAACCCCACGTGACTCACAAGGTGCCAGTCCCCATGACACACATTCCAAGAAGACACATTCCAATGGTCTCACCAGTGCTCATCCCCTTGGTACTCATTCAGCCCGTAACGGTGCTCCTAGGAAACGGGCAAGTGAGTTGCCAGCCTTGCATAATGAGACGCACAGTAAAATCGCAAAAGCTGCTCCCCTCAACCCACAACTCCCGAACAGCCTGCCTGCACGTTGTTCTCCCACTGACAGTCAGGCCAACCCCATTCTCAAGCTCTGTACAGCAAGTGATCCCACACGGAGCCACAACACGCCTGCTCATTGTGAGGCGCCACACTTTCTGCAGACATACTCTGCAAGCTCTCTGCCCGCTCACTATGAGCCCTCCCATTCTTCAGACAATGGGCTGTATGTGCCCAAGTCGAATGGATGTCAGAATTATGGAGGGAAAGACCCACCACTGAATGGGCGGAGTGCTCAGTACAGAAACTCGAGACATTTCAGAGAGTCGCTTGGTCCGATCAGGGAGTCGTCTGGTCACATCAAAGAGTCCCCTAGCATTCTCAGGGAGTCTCCTGGTTATCTCAGAGAGTCCCCTGGCCATCCCAGAGAGTCCCCAGGCCATCTCAGAGAGTCCCCAGGCCATCTCAGAGAGTCCCCTGGCCATCTCAGAGAGTCCCCTGGCCATCTCAGAGAGTCCCCAGGTTATCCCAGAGAGTCCCTTGGTTATCTTAGAGAGTCCCCTGGTCATGTCAGAGAACAGGCTCATCACAGCAAAGAGTCTGGTAACTTTGGGAAATCATCTAGTCATCTCAGAGAGTTTCGTCCCGTGAGAGAGTCAGATAATCCTGGGCTTGGAGACAGTTCTTCCTTCAGAGAGTCAGATTTTTTCAGAGAACCAGCTCGAGAAGTTGCCACAGATACTGCACTTGACCTGCGGAGAGTGGGAAAATCTCATATGTTGCAGCACCAGCAGCTTAACCAAATGATGATGGTAGAGAAAAAGGGCAACGGTCTGGCCTCCTCCTTTGGGGAAAATGCTCTAAAGTTTTTGGGGGCTGTGGGAGGGCAAGAGGAGAGTACCTTTCAACATCAAGAGCGGGCGATGCGGATTTCCCCCACACTCACATACGTGCCATATTCTGATGTACATTCTTCGAGGCAAAGGATTACTTTGTCTCGAAATGAAATTTCGATGCCGCCACCTGCTCAAGCGCCGTCATCCCACCACATCGGTGTGCCATACCCTCACAGTAGAGTCAACGGAGGCTCACCCAGCAATCCATCACTTTCACGCCCACCACTCCCAGAGTCCTTCTACCATGCCTCAAGCTTGCCACTCCCTGTTCATGACAGTGAAGAGAGACTCAGGTACATCAGCCTCCCACCCCCCCCGACACACCCAAGAGCAGCAGCTAAGGCCAGTCCCCTCTCACAAAGTGCTTTCCCCATCTCTGATGCTCCCAGAGACAACTGGCAGTCTCCCTTTATTTCCCCCTTGCGGCCGGCCCGGAGTGTTAGCCCTGGACTGACCCTTGACCTAAGTCTGCCCAAGAAGAACTCAAGTGCCATACAAGAATCGTCAGCCCCAGCTGACCAGGCGACAGCTAAAGCTAGCAATGGATCCAAGGGGCACATGAAGAAACGCTGGCTACAAAAACACTCTGACGAAACACGACAATAAATGCAAACATCTCACAGCCCCGCCATTCTTCCAGGCTGAATGTTTACTTTTGTTGACGTCAAGAGTGGATTTATCTCCTATATTATCGTCTTCATGAATACGTATATATATATATGGTAGCAAAGATTTTTACCCCCTTCCCCAACCCTGTTCCACATGAAGTCTAGTCAGAACCACAGCACAGCTTGTGTCATCTAGTCCCTCCTATAGCTGACCCCTACAATCACATTAGCACTGTCCCAGACCTCTGTGCTCTCAGTTAGGATGTATCCCCATGTCTAGTTCCCAGATTTCCTTTTCTCCAATATCCGTGGTCACGTTTAGAGTCACACCCCATGTTTGGTCCCCAGATTTTTCTTTCCCCGACCCCTATACTTCCAATGTCACATTAGGGCTATGTCCCCATGTCTGGTATCCAGATTCCCAGGTTCATACAAAAGCAAAGCCCTAATTACTGGTTATACAACCTGTGCAGTCACACCTAGGGTTATGTCCACATTTTTAATTCACCAACATGTGCAGTCTCGTCAAGGGTACCATACCCATGTTTGGTTCCTAGGCACCAGTGGTCTCTTCTAAGGATGCATGCTCACAGACCACAGAAAACAAAGGAATGGAACATATTTCTGTCACTATTCATATAAAAGAAAAGGCAGCACAATGTGCACAATGGTTTCTGCACCATGAAAGACAACTGCGGTTTTTACTCAGATGTGCCCCGGTGCCTTTTTTTAAACACCTGTGTCCAGTGTCTCATTGCTTGGAACCAATGATCAGGCAAAAGTTCCTGTTGTGTTCAGGGGCATCTCCTCAGGAATGAAAAATTCGATATTAGCAACCCGGGCGTCATTGATATGATTTTTGTCTGTCATTACGTCATGGGACAGTGTTAAAATATTATGTGCTGACTTAAAAAATTTTTAAAATTTTTATGTCATTGTGTCATTCTTTATATATTGGTGCTGATGTAGTTGGTGATTCTTGAATTAATACAAACATCAGTAAAGATGGTGTTTATCGTATGTATGTAAGCTGATACAGCTGACATGTCTTATGCAGACTGGCTTCGGAAGAGGATTTTTAAAAATTCTGAGCATGTTTTGAAACACAACTGCCGTACACTGGAGACAAAAACTAATTTGTTGAGAGGTTGTGTTTGTTCTTTAAGATTGGCCAGTCAAAATTTACTTCTGTTTATTCTGTATGAAATGAGAACTGCCTTTTCAGGTGGAGTTTAAAAGACACAACAACTTTGGCCAAGTAGGCTGAGTGCAACATGAACGTCATTTAAGTCGGGGCCTATTCTCTCTTTTTAAAAGAATGTTATCCCAAATTCAGTAGACTGAAGGGAAAATATTCCCTAGTAAAAACTTATTACTAAGCTCCGGACATGTGATTTGCACAAAGTAGCAGTAGCACATCCTTTCTCTCCTGATAGTTATTAAGCAGTTGTTGTGGAGGTAAATGTTCTCTCACCAATATTGATGAACAAACACTTTCTTGAAAATCAAATTGGGACATAGTTAACAATAGTTTTCGCATTTTGCAAGAATTTTTGTCCAATGTGCATTTTGTAGGCTTCGGTGACTGCAGTGTACTGAGTTCACCGTCCTGGAGGCAGAGGCAGCAGTACAGCAGGGTATTCAGGATATATGTATTGTGATTTGACTTTGGACAAGGAATGTTGTGTCTTCTGTATTTTGTAAGGTTGATGTACAACACAACGCAGGACAAATGAGTGGACGGTTGTGCCATGTAGGCTGAAGTGTGAGACTAGTGGGTAGTCCATATTTTGTAGGGTTTAGAGAGTTGATGAATGTAAAGACACAATGGATTGGCAGATCCAGTGTTGTGAAAAGAAACAAATTTTAATGGAAAAGTCACATGCTTTTCTCTACCTCTGTTTCTACCTCCTACAGTTTCCCTGGGGGAAGGGGATTGCCTTCACCAGATCTGCAGGAGGACAGGGCTGTTTTAAACTCTGCATTTAGAAAGTGCATACATTGTCTTACTGACTTTATTGGCCACTCCCTTTGCTCAGACGCCAAGACCCTAGTCACATCGTTGGATGCTGGCATCCCAGGTTCGATCCCAAACTAGGAAAAGATGCCTCTTACTCGTCTTACCTCCGTTTGTGAACGAGGGAAGCTCATGCACTCTCTGTGCACTCTGACCTGCCGGTGGTGCCTTGCGTCTTGGGTGTTCTCCGCAATGTGCGCAGTCCCTAGAAACGAAAGTTCAAAATGCTTAAAATCAAATAAATGTTTATCATAGATTTTTAAAACAAATTTTTAGGTTTCTACTTATACGTATACATATATTATATATATATATTGATGTGGTTATAATCATAATGTATTTTTCTGAACCGGTGACTACATTTTCAATTCTTTGACGACATGAGGCTTGGCTTCTGTTTGTACTCTATATTTGTTCCCGGTGCAGCATTAATTTTTTTTCTACCCGGTGGGGACGTTTTTAGACTTCAGTGTTTACTTACACATTTTAATGTGCGATGATTTTATGATGTCTGACTGTCATGTGCGAGACAAATGGGTTCCTTTCTTCCCTAGTGATGTCTGCTTGTTTATTAAGGGAAGGTGCTTCTGAAATTTTTAACTCTTTAGCTTCTCCGATGCACAATTTCTTGTATTATCACTGTGTTCAGCAAATTTCATGGGAAATGTGTAGATATTTGAATGTGATGAAATCATAATTCATCGACAACCTCCACAACTGAGAGGTATATTATGTAAAGGTTAAGTTACCTCAAAATTGAGGGCACTAAAAAAATCTAAAGCTTTTTCATTTTTGAACTATTTCTTTATTTGATAAGATCATCACAGTAGCAGTAGAAAGGCTGCAGTAAGAGTCAGGAGCCCTGAAGAGGGGGCAAAGGAGGTGAGTGCTGGGGGCAGAAAATGGAGACGAAAGCAGACGACAGAACATT